CATTGTATCCAAATAAAGTCTAGAAAAAATATAAGGAGCTATTTCTTTTAAAGAATTAGTTGAGTACAAGCATATTAGTATTGTGAAATTTGGTATTCAGGGTAAGAACTCATAGAAGGAATGCAGAGAAAACTATAAAGTTTTTAAACTTTCACTTCTTTATTCAATGGATAATATTTTAAACCCATCAAAATGTTAGTGATATATCCAACGAATGAGCAGTATATGAAGTGATGTTTATTAAAAACTTGTGCAGCTAAAACATCCACCAGGCTTGTATAAGTTTTCTAGTAAAATACTGGTAGTTATATATCCAAAATACATGTTATGTATATTTCTTTTTTTAAGTTTATCTTACTTATGTTTTGTTAATTCTCAACTTTTCAAATTATCAATAAAATAGATTTAGTACTGGATGGGACTTCAGAAATCAAGTTTCATAGTATCATTTTTCTCGTGAAGAAATCTGGACAACAAAATGACTAAGATTAGCCAAGCTCAACCTGGAAATTAGAAGCAAGGTGTTGGTGTTGTAATTTCTTCTAATTGATGTTGCCTTCATTTTTTAAACTATTTATTCACTACCACAGTCTAAGAGATAAATGTTAGCTCTCAATTAAACTAGTATTTTTGGGTTCTCAATTTCTCTAGCAATTCTGTATAATGAAAAAGAGGGTTAGTAATATATTATTTTTGTCCCCTGAATCTATTTGTTTTCAAGTAAAGAACTAAAGACTCCTTGTCAAAAAAATGTCTTGCTGGATGTTAAAATTTCTGAAATTTTACTGAAGAATTATTTATTTGAATTATATTGTTAAATGCTCCAAAGATTTATAAGATGCAATCACCAATGAGAATAAGGAAGCAAAACTATATATTCAAGGGTTGTCTCTCGTTTCTCTTTGCAAAAGAAGAGAAGAAATTAGATCCACTAGTTATATGGTCACTCTTGTTACGCTTGTCTATCAGTAGACAATGGACATTTTTTGAGATTAAAATTTTTTCATCATTATACATTCACATCTCCAGTACCTGGAGCCAAATACGAGATCATGAAATAAATTTTTAAATTGATATTTACCAGGCATGCACTATATGCAATTTACAGTGGTCTGTATTATTCAGTTTGTCATATCTTCTAGATTAATAATGCTCCAGATAATGATATTGTGAGGTAGCTATTACTTTTTATGCATTTTACAGGTGACAAACTTGAAGTAGAAAGACGATAGGCATACAACAAATGGAAGAGATGGAACTTTAATCTTTCTCTTTAGAGGCACTTCTTTCTCCACATCAGAAAATACCACAAAGTCCAGAGAATCATCGACTGCCAGAGTGGGGAAGTTCCTAAAGCCTATCTGGGTGCTCAGAACTCATTATATTGGGGATTCAAATTATGTTTTCCACTCCTTGTCCTCTTGTTAATTCTCAGCACTACTGTGAATGAATTGATCAAAGTGATACTCCTCTTTACATTAATTAAAAACATGGATAACAAACTAACAATCATTTTGGAAGTTATGAAGGAAAGGAGACTATTAATAATGTTTCCTATTTATTGTAGAACTACTATGTATGAAGGATATACATTAATTCTCCACTACTTCAACCTATCAGGTGAAAATTACTATTATCCTCATTAGACATACAAGGAAGCTCAAGCTTGAAGATACTAAAGAAATTTTCTAAGTTCAGAAGTATGTTATTAAGAATTTAGCCTTACATTCCGAAAATGCATGGCCTCTATCACCAATTTCTGAGTGGCAACCTGTAAACCCTTAGAATTTCCTAAGTGCTAAAAGTGCTTTTGTTATTCAGAGTGAAACCTTCTGACAGACCAAACCTAATAAATTATACTAATAAAATGTCTCCAGGTAGAAGAAGAGGATGAAGACTTCACGCATGTGAGCAATTATTAGTCCATCCATCATGCCCACTTAAGAAAGCCATAGTATAGTTCTCAGTACAAAAGTGCAAAGGAACGGTAGTGCACACATATTGTCACATGTCATTATGATGTTAGTCTGACTTCTGCTGCTATGACACAATGCCTCACATAAAAAATTATGTGAAAGAAAGATTTATTTGATTCATTTCAGAGGGTTTAGTTCATGGTTAATCGACTTCATCACTTTGGACCAATGATAAGGCTGGACATAAAGGTGGGGAATGCATCGTGGGGCACACGTGCTCAACTCATTGAGGCTGGAAAGTGAAGAGAGACAGGAGGAGCTAAGGTACCACCATCACCTTCAAGATGACACCCCCAAGACCTAGCGTAAGTCCACTAGGCCCCACCTCCTAGAGGTGCTAACGCCTCCCAGGAGTGCTACAGGTTGGTGACCAAGTCCTTTGCATATGGACCTTTGGGAACCCTTTAAAATACAAACCATGTCAAATACCAACTGTGTTCTGTGCTTAGAACAAGTAAAGCTTCATGTTGGAAGCCTCCTAGACTTTACCCTCTCTGTTTCTTTGATTAGCTGTTTTCAGTTATTATATTTTCTAGCAGTAAAAGTGATCATGAGTATAATGGCTTTCAATGAGGTCTATGGATCTTTTGAGAGAATTTCAAACCTGAGGGTGACTTAGGGAAATCCCTGGCATTGAGGTTTTCTGCAGTTTGGTCTCAGACTAAAATTGCCACTATATTCTGCTTGACTTAAACCTTAGAGAATATGTGTTAGAACAGAATCCCATAGACTCTGTGGCTTACACAACATTTATATTTCATACTTGTAGAGGCTGACACATCCAAGATTAAGAGAGGAGCAAACTTAGAGCCTGGTTAGAAGCTGCATCTGCTTTGCAGCTAAATGTCCTCTGGTTCTGTCCTCACATCATACAGTGCAAACAGGGAGTTCTAACCCCTTCTTGCAAGGCATTAATTCCTTTCATAACAGTTGCACCTTTATGACCTTATTTTCGCCCAAAGTCCTACTAATGAGAGGTTCATTCATTTCAGCATCTTCTGCTACTACCTTCCTCTGGTATCCAACCACAATCTACCACCCAGTGTCTCCTACTATGACTACTACAATCTCCATTTTCTCTTAGCCATATACAATATCACTAATCCTTACATACATTTTACTAAACCACAATCCCATACCCTCCTGGACCTGCTAACTTGACCGGAGACAAACACCAATAGATATATACAGTCATGTATTGCACAATAACATTTCAATAACTCTACATATGATAGTGCTTACACAGGGTTACAATGCAGCCCAAAGGATCCTATCACCTAGTGATGTTGTAGTCATTTAAGTTTGTGTAAGTGCACTCTTTAACACTTCTACAATTATGAAATTGCATAAGGGTACATTTCTCAGAATTTATCAGGTAATTAAGCAACATATCACTGTGTGTGTGAAAAATTCTTTTAACACATTTTGCAATTCCATCAGGTATTTCTAGCGGTCCCAGGGATTTCTAAACTATTGTTTTGGCTCACTTCTATAACCTGGAAGCTTAGGTATAGGGGTTGCCATTCAGAGGGATCATTCTTTACAGTCAAGTTAAGTTTACACAAATGTTCACAAAAAAGTAGAAATGTATTATTTTCAGTGTACCTGAAAGCTCAAGTTTTTGTATAAATCATAACTAAGTGGAATGACATGGGCTATTTGTAAACAAAACAAAATATATATAGGTCTTTGCTTCTCTTCAATAAATCACATCTGTTTTTATTACACTAGAGGATCAAAGGTGATATCCTCCTAATATTGACATAGAAAGGGATTAAAACATGGTTAAATAGAGAAAATTAAAGGGGGAAGCTTAGCCTTGCAGGCTAATTGCAACCTAGATTCTGTGAACCTGTATTTTTAATGGTAATACTGCTAAAATTTTGCAGATGGGTTCCAAATATAAGATACTGCAATGAAACTATGTTATTTCCTTTTCTAAATTACCTGCTCTGCCTCTCAGAACAAAAACTAATAAAAAGGTAGGCCCATCTTAGTGGGATAGGTACTGCATTCTTTTTTTTTCCTTTTGTACCTGTATCTACTCAACAGTAAATTAGAACAATAATAGCCATTTAAATACATGTTAATACAGCACAAGTGTTAGCTTTTCAGCTTCACCATAATTCCAATGTAAAAGGGAGTCAGACAGCAAAAACTGTGATAAAATATTGAAGAGCTCTATTTCTCTGCAAAACCACACAATTTCAGTACTAGCTAAAAATTGGCATTGATAGAAAAATTATTCATATTGATAGTTCTCATTTTAAAGTTTAAAAATATCATTTCTATATTTTCACATGGATTTCATGTTTTAAAATGCTATTAATCAGATAGATCACAGCACATTATTAGTTCACGAATGTCCCTGAGAAGATGTGAAGATACACGCGAACAGAGCTGTAAAGTGAAACCCACACTTCGCTAGGAACTGATCTAATTGGGTCTTCCTTATTTTTTTTAAATAATTCATTAAATATCAGACTAACGAGGGTTATTTCTGATTCATTTTCTTTCTATTTGTTAGTCTGTGTAATATTTAAATCTTTCATAAGAATATCACTTTGGTCGTTAATAAATTAACAATGTGGGCTAGTGTCTCCTAAAATGTTTTAGTAATAGAATTGTTCTTAAGTTACACTAAGCTATTTTCCAAGTTGCTTTTACTTTCACTTCTCAAAATTAGATTTATTATCCGTGTCATGTTCAAAGTGGCTTTGTGAGAGCAAGTGTAATACCGCACTTGGAAGTAAGCCAGCCATTTTACATACTGCACAGGCAAATGCCTTGGGAGCCTTCGCTCGGTGGGCACCGCGGGGCAATCTTGAATGATAGGTGCTCTTTCTTACTCTCCAGCTATAGAAAACCTTTAAGCTAAACTCTTATAGGAAAGCAAAAAGAGTGAGAAAGATACTTTTTCCTATAGTGCTCACATGCGTGCACACACACACACACACACACACACACACACACACAATGACTTACTTTCCTTTTTCTCTACTGAGCTCATAGAAACCTGCTTACCTCTCTTTGAACCTCTTAGCTGATATCTCAGGAATCAATTTTAATAAATGACAGTTCTTCTTTCTTGTTTGGTTAGTAATTTATGCCCATCTTTCAGTCTCACTGAAAAAAGTTATTGGAAAAATAAAATAAAAATTTCCACAACATTTACATACATTGGTATGTGTAGACTAAAAACTAAGTTAAATAGAAATGACTAAAAACAAACAAAAAATGTTGAAACTTAGCTTAAAAAATAAATTGTTTTTCAACAAAATGCATTCATTTGGGGGCATTCAAAGAACATACTATATTCCCTAATATAAAAACATGGGCTAAAATATCTGATCCATAAGGCACAATCATGGTGAATATAATTCTTGACAATTTGTCCCCTGCTCACAGGTTTGGCATTTTCTTCAAGGCAGATATTCATGTAGAAAGTGAAAACTGAACCATCAGTGAACTAGAAACCTCAAGGATTCTCAACAATAATCATTCCTTACTTTGAAAACCTAGAATTGTGTTAAAGAACAATGCATGGTGACAATAATTATGTCCTGTTCTATTTATTGGTTTATTGACCTTGAGCAAGTCACTTGTCTTCATGGTTCCCAGTTTCTTCAGCTAAAAATCATCATGACCTTTTTACTTCTTGCAAAGTATAGAAATTCATGATTCTAAAAGCCACTATTCAATACATTCCCTAACATTTTCAAGGGCTTCAGGTTTAATTTATTTTTCAATGAAACTCTAATCATTAAGGAAGCAAGATTTTCTTGGATGTTTAAAAGATTAAGTAGTAAATGTATCATAGCTAGAAGCTGGTTATATGTTATATTCTTAGCAAAAGATAGCTATTTAATGCCTGCTTTCTTTTCCATAACTACTAATCCAGATGTTTGAAATCACTTTTTAAAAAATACACTATTTTTAGAGAAATTATGGGTTTGCACAAAGTACAGGGTGTTCCCATACATTTCCTTTACCCTTCTGCCCCAGTGTCCCTTACTGTTAATATCTTACATTGCTATAGTACACCTTATATCTGTTATAATTGGTTAGGCAATGCCTATCGATGTACTATTTTTAAGTCCATGATTATAAAAGTTTCTACTCAATATACTCTCTACATAAATTTTTGATTAGGAATTATATGTCACACATCTTTCTAAATATTTTATAGGTCCTGAGTCATTACATACTTATAGACTTCTTATCAGATAAGCTGCATTATTACATGCTTGTGCAAACAATCTGAAGCACAGAGAGTTTAAGTGTTACAGCTGAAGCCTCAAGGTTAATTTGAAGTAAAGTTGGGATTTGGAAGCAGGCAGTTAAATCTATATATTTAAATACTCCACTAAATGGCCTCAAGATTTCTCTGAAGTGTCACCTGGAATACAATTCTCTAAAGAAAGAGTTTATGATTTGTTAACTATGCTTGTTGCAGTTTTAAGTGACATGAAAATATTAACCCAACCTACATAAGTAAAAATTAAATTTATTAGTGTAAGGAGCCAAAATCTTGGAAAAGGAGAAAAGCGACTAGTTGTAGGAAGTTTGACTCAGATAATATAATTATGATTTAATTACATTGCCTTTATCTTTATTTTTATTAGTCCCTGTTTGCAGTACATAATGACTACACCCATTGTGGGCAGTTGGTGAATGTACACAATAATACATCTTAATTTGGTTTTTTATCGCTCTCCCCTGTCCTCCTCTCCCTCCAGCCTCCCTCCATCTCTTGATCCTTCTCCAGGCAGTCAAACAACGGAGACAAAAACTCCAGTCCTCATAACTTCAGTCGTCCTCACAGCAGAGTCATAGTTTCTTGCATGGTCCCAGTATAAATATATTTATGTCATATTATCTTTGGTTGAATCATGTGTCCATCTCTAAGTGAATCTCTAAGGTAGGAAACTTTCAAGAGTGCTGTAGTTTGGCAGTAAGCCTGTATCTCATGCTCCATTCTGGGAGGCTTAAGAGAATGGCCACCACCACAGCCACAGCGATAAAGACTGAGGGAGGGAGTGCTTTTCCAGGTAGACAAGAGAATATGGCTATTAAAATTGATTGATGGATGTCCAGAGATGTCCACAGTATACAGTGACACTTATTGGAAATATGGCATATTTCCAAATTCTCTGCAATGATCAGTGCATATTAAGTGTACTAAAATACTCAATAGCTTCCTTAATGAAGATATTGTTTCTTTTCATTGTTTCTAAAATTTATTCAGTCATGGAACTAATTATTTTGGCGACACTCTGGCAGCATTTGTTTATGTACTGAGTATCCTGAATGTTACTTGGACAGGTGTCATTTCAACCAGTCAATTCCTGTATTGAATAAATTTGATAAAACTCTCATTTTTATATCCCCTGTTATATTGTCTTATAAAAATTAACAAAAAATATTTAATCTTTTCATTCTGTACTTAAGTAATTGAATTGGTAAGTGGTCAAGCACAATTTATTAGTAACTCTTTAAACCAACAATCTGCTGAATATATTTTGGGAGATACTGATTAAGACTTAGTTTCTGACTCAGTGAAAAGGTCCCCGTTTTATATTTAGTATTTGTTATCATGTTGTAAATTGGCTAGGTAGTTATTCTATTTTTTTTGGTTTGTTTTTTTCTGGTACCGGAAATCGAACTCATGACCTTGCACTTGCAGGCAGGCACTGTGCTGATGAGCTAAATTCCTAGCCCCCTAGGTAGTTATTCTAGATTTGATCAGATCAGCAGGTGCTAGATGGGCTCGGATGACCTCATACTCTCATCTAGAGTTTGGTGGACTGGTTGGTTTGCAGTGTCTTATGTATGATTCATGTGGACTCATTTGCCCAAGTAGCAAGCTGAGACTTGGCTCTTTCAGGTTTCAAAAGAGTTATAAGTGAGGGCAAAGATCAAAGTGGTACAAGTGCTTTCCAAAACTACTTTCATCATCTTCATTTACATAGCAATTACTAAAGCAAGTGAAATGACCAAACCCACTTCCCCATGAACAAAACTGCAATGACATATTGCAAAAGGATATGCAGCACATACCAAAGTGGGATGAATTGCTAGCCCTCCTTATGGTATACAACAGGGTTATTAAAATTCTTTTCTGTATATCCTAGCTTTAATTTAAGCTAATGGGTGATATGCTTAACTAAACTACATAGAAAGCTGTTTATTAAAATTTTACGTACATGGACATAAAGAAATGACCTTTACTTTGAATAACTAGGTCATGTTTAAAATACAACATGTTCAGCAAGATCCCAAAGTGTAATGTACAGAAAGTAGTAGAGACTTTATTGTATGATTTTGAACAAATAAGTTCTGAGATGCAGATCTGCATGCAGGAGTTTCATCAAGGATTATGTGTGGAGAAACACATATAAAGTAGTATGGAAAACAAAAGGGAACTGAAGAAAGCCAACTCTAAAGAGGTTGGAAATTAAGAGTTGTTTATTCCACAGGGGTCTCAAAACTAAGCTAGATTTTAGGTTATCCCTAAATAAGGTGAAATAATATGATTAAATAAGGTGGCGTAAATAAGGTGTTCATATCACTGGCTCCCAAACCCCAGACAAACAGTCTGGGGTGAAAACATCTCATGGGAAGGAGCTAAGTTTGAGCAAGATGATTTCCTTTAGCTGTGGGCAATTCTGGGGGAAAGACCCAGGAGTGAATCACCACTAGCCAATAGTATCATAGCTGCAGAAAGCATCCCCTCACTTATGAAGAGATCTGATTTCAGCATCAACTGGAAAAACAAGAATTATTTCAGCTTAATATAGGGAAGACATTTTTTTCACAGCAGAGAAGTTCCAGGCTTTGGAGGTATGTAAAACTGCATCAAATCAGCATGTGTGAGTACTCTGCAGAATCAAACAATGGGAGTTTTGACTAACTGATCTTCTGAACATTTTTTAAATGCTAAAATTTTTATTATTTCTTCTTTAATAGACTGATAAAAGAAAAAGCCATAGTAACTATGTTGGAAAGTACGTAAAGTGTCCTGTTGGAAAAGTTTTGAAATAACCCCAGACACACTCAGCCACCTTATATTTGACAAAGCAGCCAAACACATACATTGAAAGAAAGATAGCCTCTTTAATAAATAGTGCTGGTAAAACTGTCTCTGCACATGTTGATGATTAAAATTGAACCCATGTCTTTCACCATGCACTAAACTAAATTCAAAATGAATGAAAGATCTAAATATTAAGACAGAAATGTTCAATCTTCTGGAAGATAAAATAGGTAAAATTCTTGAAGACATTATGGTAGGCAAAGACTTTATGACTAAAACACTGATCATAAAAGAACTATCCCAAAGAATCAACAGTTGGGATCTCATCCTATTCAAAAGCTTTTGCACAGCAAGAGAAACCACCAACAGAGTGAAGAGACAGCCCACAATCTGGGGAAAATGTTTGTTGGATGCTCCTCAGACAAAGGCTTACTATCGAGAATGTATAAAGAATTCAAAAAATTAGACCTCTCAAATTTAGAGATCCAGTCCAAATGTGGACATCTGAGATGAATATGCACTTCTCAGATGAAGAAATACACACAGAAAACTGATACATGAAGGAATGTTCCACATCACTGGTCATTTGAGAGATGAAAATTAAAACAACACTGAGATTCCATCTCACCCCAGAAAGAATATCTATTATCTAGAAATCAATAAATAACAAAGGCTGGAAGGGAAAAAAGGAACACTTCTGCACTGTAGGTAGGAATGTAGACTGGTACAACCACTGTGAAAATCAGTGCGGAGGGTCTTCAGAAAACTAGAATTAGAGGTCCCATCTGACCCAGTTAGTCACCTTCTGGGTATCTTCCCAGAAGAATTTAAACCATCATACACAGTGATGTATGTGCACCCATGTTTATAGCAGCACAATTTGTAATAGCTAAATCTTGGAAACGACTCATTTGTTTCAGCACATCAACTGAAGAACGGATAAAAAAGGCGTGGTCTTTTTATATAATGGAGTATTACTCAGTCATATAGAAGGATAAACTGGAAACTTTTATAAGTAAATGTATGCAACTTGAGACCATACTCATAAGTGCAACAAAACAGATGCAAATGTGTAAACACTGTATTGTCT